GAAGATCTTAGTATTAAAACTTCAAATTATACTTAAACTGGTATTGAGCAGTGATTTCTTTATGGAAGTTGGGGGAGGGAAGTGGGCTGTTGATCCATGAACATGCTTCATGGATATTTTTTCAAGACTTCCAGTACATGCAAATGACTGCCTGTGCTGAGCGAAGCAACTGCATTTCCTTGGCAAGGAGCATAGCTGGAAAAATAATTGATCCTGGGGTTAAAGTACTTCATGCTTTCAAGTATGGCATATTAAAATTCCAGTTGCTGCTGACTTTCAGTTCTTCCTCTTGCTTGTTTATCAGTAACAATGTTTAGTTTCAAGTTTAACAATGCTTAACTACAGCTTAATGTATTCAAGGCTGAATCTGTCTGCAGGAATTAAGGCGAAATTATTTTGAACCCAAGTCAGACTTGCCTTTACGCTTTCCATCTCTTTGCTAGTCTGTGCTGAGCTCGGTGATCATTTTCCTCTGAGGCTCTGCTTGTAATGTTCTTAACTGCAGCCTAATCTGCTGCTTAATTACGTATTTCTGCCTTTTCTGTAGAGTTCTATCAGCTGTTGCTATGAGAACCTTGGCCAACTCAAGCCACGCTTGAGTCTAAAAGTGCAGTTGCCAATGTGGAGTCTGTTTAATTGGCTTTGCAACATTCCCCTTGCCCAGTGCCATCAGTGTTGAAGACAAGGAAGTGGATGGTTATTAATCTTTGAAATACAACATGTTAATTGCCAAATTTCCCCCAGGTCAGTTGCCTGAAACAAGCTTGCTTGTTTTAAAAAACTATGCTAAAAAAAGGTGTATGTAGAAACTTTCTGGCTTGTGAACAAAAATTGTCAGACTGGGGCCTTTAACAGTGATGCAGAGAACAAATATCCTCTTCCTCCCTTCAGCTGGGAGGTGGCAGCAACCACATTTGTTAAAGTGAAACCCAGCTGGGTGGTTGCAAGTCACACTGACTGAAAATGTGCTTTGGAATCTTAATGAAATCAGGGGAAGAGATCCACTTTGTGACTCTTCAGTGTGGCTTTTTCAAAGCTGTTAGATTCTTGGTGGTCTGTGGGCAAATCCAGCTACCTTTAGAAGCTGAGGTAATTTTAAACTTGGAGTCAAAAGTTTGGTCTTGCCTATAGACACGTGCTGTTGGTCACAGGAGTGCTATTTCTGAATTTTTATTTAAGCGGCAAGGCCCAACTCTGAAATTCAAAGAGGATCGTGTTTTACATTTTTCTGCCTTACGATGTTTCCAATTGACCATGGTGGTGTTCCCTGAGGGGGGAGGGTCTTGCTCAGTGTAAGGTGGGCACTCCTCTTCGCATTTGCACATAGTATCGGGACAAGTGAGCTCTAGTAGATAACTGATAATGTTATCAGTGGTAGAACTGAGCTCATGGCAAATCTGCTTTACACATAAAATTGTAACTTCTACAGTTGGGTGTAGCAACTCGGTGCCCTGCTCACGTTCTTTTCAGCCTGGCCTGTGGGACTGGGTCCTGAAGCAACGAACCAACGCTGAGAGAGCATTCCAGCCCATTAGGATATAACATACATGCATTTTTTTTTCACGACGGTTCCTCCTCTCTTAAGCTCCACCTGCTGGCGCTGGTACAAAATCATCGTCACTAAGCACGTATGGAAATTTCCACTGCTCTGCCGTTGGGCCCCGCCGCAGTGGCGCGTCAGCCCCAACTCGGCTTTCTGGTTGGAAAACCTCCGTGCCGCTTCCCACCGCACCAAGCGAAGTACAGCCGCCCTGGTGCGGCCCTTGGGGATTTCCCCCTAGAAATCGCCCTGTAACGCCTTCCCGTGGCAGCGAAGGGCAGGGTCCTCCCGCCA